TGACCCAGAAGCACCAACAGATGGATCGTGCTTGGGTCTCTAGTGTGTGGTGGGGTGGATCAGGAGGGCACAGGAATTCATTTAGTAGAGCTTAAGTCGTCTACTTGCGGGGTGAAAGGCGATAGGCCATTCATGTCCTGTTCTTTACTATCTTGTTTGTTTAAATATACGTGTTTTCTTTTTTTGGGGGTTCCCTTTGGACTGTGCCTTTGGACTGTGCAGGTATGCTCGAAAGAGCCTGGGCGCTCGCGATGTGGTTTTTCTTGCCATCTTTAGCCAACAATGTGATTTTTGGTGTGATTGGTTTGGTGGTGTGCTTATCTGCGGTGATCACCAGTCAGAATGCCTTGGTTGCCTTTACTGGTTTGTTCGTGATTTGCTTAAACGTATTCAACTTCGCAGAACGTCTCAAGGACATGGCCAACATTACCCAGTCGCCAGGCGATGTTTTGGACAGTTTGAGGGCTTTGTTGATGAACCCAGGATTGCTTAAGGTTTTTGGATGTGTCCCCGGTTGGAATGAGTTCGAGCACAGTGTTGGATGAGTTGTTTCGGGGGACAATATTTAATATGTTCTGGCCAAGCCACCTGTTATATAAGAGTTTATTGTCACCCAAGATGAAACAATATCAAGGTTGAACATTTTGCCTTCAGGGAGGATGACAAGACACGTATATGTTTGCTCAGAACGGGTGCTGTGGGGGATGTGAATTTCACTCTCCACACCCCACACAACACTGAAAATACCGTGGTTTTGTACATGTAAACCTTCAAAACAATGTTCAGCAAGCGTTCTTGTCATGCAACCCGCTTCAGAAATTACAACGCAAACAATTCTTGGGAAGTCTTGGGGAGGGGGGGGGTCCAGCCAAGAGTCATTGAGGATTGTTTTTGTGTTCAAGGGTTTTGTTTTCACTAACTCTGGCCCCCTCCTCCTTCCTTAACAGTCTCCAACTATTGTTGTGTTTTCCCCCCGAAGTCTTTTGTTCCAGAGATCTAGAGGAAAGCTTTTGACATGACAGCTATATATGAAGGATCCTATATTAGCATATCGACTTTTCCAGCGATTTATATGTTAAGAGATCATTGCTCTTGGGCTTAGAGATATAGAAGATTAACCTGTCTAAGCACAATGTGTGTTTTTTTCACTGTTCACCTATCTTGACAAATCTACAGTCCAGAGATCCAGGAAGAAAGCTGTGGACATGAGGGTTTTTACAAGGAGCTTTTCAATAAGTAATAATGGTTCCCAGAGATCTAGAGGAGCGTTTTGCAATGACTGCCTTTTTTCTAAGGCTTTTAATATGGAAGTGGTCATTCCCAGAGATCTAGAGGAAAGCTTTGGACATGAAAGCTTTTATATAAAGTTGTCTAAACAAGTTATCATCCCCAGAGATCTAGAGGAAAGCTTTGGAAAAGATAGTTTTTATATAATAACGCTTTTGAAATATAGA